CTCCATACTTCATTCGCGTTGAAGTGACTAAAGACAAATTCCTCCAGCTGGTCATAAAATAAATGCGGTCGGCCCCTCCTTAGCTCAGCTTATGAAATGTATGGTGGAGGAAAAAAGTTACGAGCTTTTTACTCTGAAATATAATCACAAACTACAGGATATACCAAATTGACTGGACAGAACATCAGTACCAGTAATATCTACACAGTTCAGCCTAGTCGTAGTAAAGATAGTTTTACTGTTGTCCATTATATTTATCTCTTAAATGTTATCCTAACATAATAACAATATTAATAAAAAATATAATAATTTGTTGTAACAGCAAATTTGTCTTTTCGTTGGTTTACCCAAAATAAGGTTGTCAAAATCAAGCTAGCATAACTGACCTACTTTCTGCATCTCCGACATTTTTTAAAATATAATATTTTAATAACCTGTAAAATGTGATAACCTTGATCTTGAGATCTTGTTGTAGTGTTGACAATTTATGGCAAAATATTGCATCCCTTTTTGATATTCGTTGCATGACTGTCTGCTGCGTCCCCTTTTTACCACCATTCATGCATGTTCCTGAGTCAAAACTCAATGCATAGCAATGGCACCTCTGTGGCGAACAATAAGTCACATGATGTCCAATCCAGTGATATAGATCAATGGTTTCCATGGAGCTCGGTGCAGGGTGTCTCAGGAGCTATGAAAGGTGTGTGCGAAGACGAAGGACGAACAACCACGTGACGGCGCGTCGACCGGTCAGCTGCCGAGCGACCAAACTCCCTGCTTAATACAGAAAGGGATTAATCTGCTCTCATCCTAGTGTCAAATGTGTTTGGGAGGACATTTCAGATTATATCAAGACAAGTTAAACCACATCCTGCATCCATCACAACAGCATGACTTCATAGAAGAAGAGTCCAGGAGCTGAACTGACCTGTCTGCAGACCAGACCTCTCCAACTGAAAACATTTAATACATCCTGAAACAGAAAATCCATCAAAGGACTGTAGAACAGCTGGTCCATCAGACCAGAATGGGACAAAAGTCCCTCTAAAACCTCCAACAGCTGCTCTCCTTGGTTCCAAATGTTAACAGGATGTTGGTCAAGAACAGGAGGGAWATATGTGGAACTACTTTAAATAGATGTTTAAATTCAAAATTAGCTTATTTTTTATGTATTTTTTTT